TGAAACTTCCTTATTGCATCACCAAAGGCCATTTTTCTATCACTGGGAATTAAAGTCATCGGTTATTATTTCGAAATCGAATAAAAATTCCTTTTAACTTACCTAGACTTGTTTTTGTCAATCAAACTTTTTTAAAATTGCAAAATTGAAAAATACGTAGCGATTGCACGTTTTCCATAACTCTCTTTAATTGATATTGCTCCATTTTTTATTTTGTTGCTATATTTGTACTGTTTGCTAAATAACAGCTCATGGCCGCATTTGAACTATAGATTTCTGCCGTGCAGGAATAGACGCCAACTTAGTGCATCATTTCATTTTCCGCTTTGATAACACTTGCTGCGCGCAATCGAAAACAAGCTTCAATATAAACTAGCACCCGCACTGCAGCTGAAACTGCTCCTGAAAAGAGGCAATGTTCAAGCTTAACTGCAAAATAGACTAGATGGATCTATGGTTAGCTGATTGTTTGGATCGCATGGCGAACGAATGGATGAAATGAAGCCAGGATGGCAGCAGCATACATTGGTGAAGCACGGATGACTGTCTAGATGACTGGCTTGATGTAACGACGGCATGATGGATGACGGGTTGGATGGATGGCTAAATTGAGAGGAGTATGGATGAATGGTTTAGATGGATGGACGATTGCTTGAATGTCTAGATACACTGATGGCTAGCTAGATGTAGGCTGGATAGATGTATTGATGGCTTGCTGTATGGGAGACAGCGGGAAGAAGGAACGACTGAATGGATGGATGGCCAAGTCGATGGATCTCTTGATAGATGGAGAGATGGTTGGTTGGATGGATAGCTAGATCGATGATAGATGAATGATGAATGGATGGCTAGATGGACTCAAAGCTTGATGGATGCAAGCGTTAAGAATGGATATTTAGATGGATGGATGGCTAGATCGATGGTGAATGGCTGGATGGATGACTGACTGAATGCCTGCCGGATATTTCATTGCTGACTGAGATGGGTTGAGGGCTAGATTGATAAATTTATGGCTGTTTAACTGGAAGAATGGAAGGCAGGATGGAATGTCTGCCTATCTAGATTGATGGATAGACTTCATGGGTTGGTTGGATGGCTTGATTGATAGCCGAATTGATGGATGGCTGGTTAGATGGATGAATGATTGGTTGGATAGCTAGATGGCTTGGACATATGATTGGATGAATGAAAGGTTAGACGAATGGCTAGATGGACGGTTATCCGACTTAATGAATTGCTGGACGAATCGGAAGCTTGTTTGATGTAAGGATGGCATGATGGATGACGGGTGTTACCTGGATAGCTAGATGGCTTGGACAGATGATTGGATGAATGAATGGTTAGACGAATGCCTAAATGGATTTAAGGATGGCACGATGGATGACGGGTTAGATGAATGGCTGAATTGATAAAATCAGAGATGAATGCGCCAGATGAATTGATGACTGATTGAATAGCTAAATAAATTGATGCCTGGATAAATGGTTCGATGGCTAGCTGGATAGCTAGACATGAGTGTTTCGCTATATGGTGGATAGTGGGATGGAGGGACGGCTGAACAGATAGATGGCCAAGTTGATGGCTCGCTTGTTGGGTGGAGAGATGTTTAGTTGAATGGATGCAATTAGGTACTTACTTTTTTCTCTAACTAATTTTGTTCACAGAATGGTCAAAAACAGAAATAGTAAGTTTACTCATGCACTAGCTGTATAGTGCTGTCCCTGATTCCGTCTGTTGGAAATACTGTTACAGACATATTCTGAGCAGGTTAGTATTTTGAATATCCGTCCGATTCGAGATTTGCTTTTCATGCTGATTACAATTTGTTTGACAACTCGATTCAGTAATACTTTTCGGCTTCATGAGTTTCTATTTTAAACCGGCTTAGTGGCCTCATATTGTCTCCTTTGATAGCGAACTTTTTTATGTACGTCTGGTCTGTGTGCTTTGAGGAAGAGCAGAGCTAAAAATTTTTGATTTTTCAGTTTTTTTTCCATTTTGCCTTAGATAGTTTCTGCTCAAGTTTTTTGTTCCGACAAGTTGAAAAACGGGGGGGGGGCACTTTGTTTTTGGCTGTTTTAGCATTTTTTTTTACTTATTTTGTTTTCCAAGCAAAATCGGGTACCACAAATAATCATCCGACTGGGTAGAGTGATATATCATAAAAAAGCATTTTCAGTCATGATTCGAGCGATATTTAGAAAATACCCAAAAAATTTCCTGGTGTCGAGAAAAACTGGTTTGAAATTGTTTAATTTTTGTTCCAATTTCGAGCTAATATGGTGAGCGTCCAGGCCTACAATAGCTTCCTTATGCTTAATTTAAGCCGCGAAAACTCAAGTTTACTCTATTAAAGGTAGTTTTCGGTTTTTTTAAGTCATTTTAGTATCAAAAACATCCAAAAATTTCTGCTATAAAACTTTTCAAATTTTTTTTTCTTTTTTCAGTCAGTTTTCTGCAAAAACTGTTTTCCAATTGGCCTATTTTAATATGACGGTCGATTATGCCTAAGTTATATCTTTCGTTCAGATCTTTTTATCACACCACGCGAAAAATAGCGACACTAATTTGAAAAAAAGGCTATCCTTTTTAGAATTTTTCTTACCGCTGGGTCAATAATTTCCGATGCTTCTTTCTTACTATACTAAGTTGGCTGGTTTTTTTTGCCAAAACTAGCCTTTTTCATTTTGATAGATCTAGTGTTTTCGATCTTTTCGAAATGTTCTGGTTTTTTTTTTACAATTTAGTGGCTTCCTTGTATTATGTCGCAAGTGGTGCGAAGCTCCGCTGCTACAGCTTTGTGTAGAATATTAAAGGTTTCATGACAAAAAAATTTTTTCGGATCAACGGGAATCGGAGTTCACATAATTGCAATACCCTTGCTGATCGCAAGGATAAAAAATTCCATCCTTTTGTTTCCGGAGGGCAAAGAAATTTTGACTTTGAAAAAATTATGTCACCCTCTAAAAACAAACACAGATATGTTTTGCTCATACGACGCAAAATGAGGCCATAGCCAATATCTAAACCAAAACCTTTCCTGAAGTCGATTGAGATTAAAACGAAAAATGACATTCCAACAAATCGTAATTATACAACAACAACATAAGACAATTTTCGACAACGAGAAGCTGAGCTTCACGCAACTTTCTATACAAAAAAAGCCGATAATCAAAGTGATTTTCAAACAAAAGTGAAAAACCTGAATAAATTGAATTCTCTTTAAGAAATCGAAGGCTAAAAAAAGAAGAATTAGTTTACAAAAGCTATAAAAATTATTTACCTACAACATAAAGTTGATTCGGGATTCATTAACTCCATTCAGTTCTTTCTCATAACCAATAGATCAACCAAAAGCAAAAATGGCCAACAGATCGAGATCCCAAATTTCCGGAAAGTACTAAAAGATTTTGCTTGAAATCTATCACCCAAACAAACTGCATATTGTAGAGAGGCAATTAAACATAAGAAAAATCCCATTTCGTTGTTTGCTATACAATATTTAAAAAAAAAACGCACAAATTTCAATCAATTTCAACAAAAGAACTCAGATAATCCAAACAAACTTCTCGAAAATGAATTTGATACGCAACATTATGAGAGCTGGATCACTACTAAAAAAAAGATGACAATAAAGAAGGAGACCCGTAAAGGGCAAAAAATACGAGAATTCATTTTTTATCAAAAGATTCAGCCAGAAAAAAACTCCTATCTCGTGTGACACTCGTCATAGATCTTCTTAGAACTTTAATTGACATTAAAACAAAACGCTAGCCATCAACTAGAATCAATTTTATGAAAACTTATCAATCCTGAAACGCAGCAATCAAATTGAAACTAAATCTAACTCCACGCATTTATTGATCGAAAAAATTGAACAGCAAACATGCATTGGGGAAAAAAATTTAAAGAAAAACTTTTTAAATTTCAAAAAAAAATTATCTTTTCTAACAGAGAGCTTTGGCGTGCATAAAAACCAGGAAAACGTGAAGTAAATTTACCCACTGGAAAATTAAAAAACATTTAAAACATTTACCAAAAAAAATAAACACCCGGCAAGTGAGCCAACAAAAATTGGGACGAAATCATTGAAGCCGACAAAAAAATTAATATGGATCTGAAACTTTATTAAGCTATAGACCCACTATAACTTCACTAGCTCTAGGCCAACTGTTCAACAACAGCTGTTAAAACTATATTTTCATTATTGAACGTACAACTTGGGTAGAAAAAGAGATCTTGAAATTGAAGATTCGATCCTGTGAACAAAAATAACAACGGGAAAAATGTCAAGCACCCGATTGCAATACCTTTGCTTATCGCAAGGGTAAAAATAACGGGTATTTAAAAAGCAGATATGCTCAAAATATGTCCGTTGATTGACGTTGATAGATTTGTTCACAGGATCTACAATTTTAGTTGAACCAGCCAATCTGTAATGTAATTTAGCAGATAAACTAAAATTGTAGATCCTGCGAACTAAGTTACTTACGGTAAAAAAAGTCAAGGCACGATTGAGAGACCCTTGATTATCGCAATCATAAAATTAACCCTAATTGAAAAAACTGGGTTACTAGGTATTTTTTGTTCCGAAGGGTAATCTTTAAACTTAAATCCACTTTCGAAATTAGAACTCGATAATGTTTTTCGCGACCTTTACACGTTTGCTGTTCAATTATGGAGTTTGCTTTCTTTTTAACAAAGGAAATGAACTGAGATTTAAAAAAAACAGTAAAACCGCAAAAATTCAAATTTGAGCGTGAACAAACTTAGGGAATTTTTCCTGAGAAAAAATCTTCCCAACCTATGTGTCTTCCCGACGTTCATTGACACTTTAAAAAAGAAAAAACTAAAATTAAGGGCTATCGAAAACAAAGAAAAAACAGGGCCGCATTTAAATTGGATCATGTCACGTACTGAGAGTTGTAATCTGTGAATATAGTTGTTCACGGGGGAAAAAGTCTAGTACTCGGTTGCAATACACTCGCAAGTGTAAAGACTAGAATAAAGATCTGTTTCAATTTACGGTCCAACTTACAAACTTCAAATTAATTCAAGAATTCAACATTGACATCTCTTTAAGATATAGAAATTTTCCTAGTTAACAACCAACAAAACTCGCTTTATAACTTCATAGGTTGACAACATTATACCGCATGCTGGCATGACTCTACACAGTCTTGGAATAAAACCGGCAAAGAGTCCTTTAGTTCCGTTTTTCAACCAAATCGCTGCCAATCTCTCAACTATTGAAATTGACTTCGTATTTGCATATTTAGCTGATCCCAGCTCGATCTGAGCCTGAGTCTTAAGTACGTCGAAGGGTAGTGTGACTGTTCCTGCGACACCTCCGCTGAAAGATCCCACAATAAAATTGATTAAGAAAGACGATTGTGGTTTATTCCAGCGCTTAGATAGGATCTTCCTATATCGCTCCAAAAGCGTCCAATAAATCATTGAAAACGGAACATCACGAATCAAGCTTGGCTTTAAGCCCAAAAAGAGAGAAGAAAAGCCTGCAGTTGTAACTTGAGTTCTAACAGCAGCAAAAATCTTCGAAGGAGGCATTTTTTCGCTTTGCATTTTCGTTCTCAGAACCTCCATAGGGCAAAAAGCGGTTGAGACTATGGTTCTCGCGCCAGAACTGGCGATTAGTGGAATAACAAAAAGGTCGGGTCTCTTCTGGTAGCCGAGTGTGTCCCGAATGTATTCGTATGATGAATAGTACAGAGTAACTGTGGGCAGTGAGAGTAATATAGAAGGGTACAGTCCACTCCATAAAGAAGAGATTCCCTCGTTCTTAGCGATCTTGCGGAAGGCGTCTAAAACAACCCACTAATTGAATTTTGAATAATTAATATCGAATAAGCACGGCTGATTGCAATTTCGAAAAATTAAAATAGGATTATTGAAATTTCGATATTTATTTAGATTGAACTGACAGAAAACTACTTGAGTTTTCTTCTAAGCACAACGTCAAAACCCAAACTGCCACAAATCTGTTTCAATTGCGCAAAAAAAAGATATCAATAGTCCTCAGGTAAACCTGTTCATTAGATTAAATTTGGGTCAAGAAAACATTTTGGACCCTGAACCAAAGGATTATCGATTACTTGACCCCTATCGATTATCGATTATTTGTAAATTTGGATCGTTTTCTCCTCGTCGTCAATTTTAAATATTTATTTTATTCTTCATCTTTGATACCATCTTTTTACACTAGCAAAACTTAAGAGCAGTTTGGATAATTTGCTGACAAATCTTCATGGAAAAATGATACGCGGTTGCAATACGAGTAATAATCGCAAGAACAAGCCTAAACGCACGACTAACATAGCCTTATATATCTTACCGATTGTTCCGTTAAAATGACTGGGTCGTTTGTACCACGCTATCCTGCGTACATTCACTTCACAATTCTCGTTATATGAGACATGGTTGCCATTTGAACACGTGCATAAGTGCTCCAAGATTCCATCTCGTAGAAAAAACTGATCGCCAGGACTGAACGGCTTCTGCTGGGCTTGCAGACGAATCTTCACGACGTCGAAAGGAGTCATAAATAAACTAACAACGATACCACCGACGCCTCCTGCTAATAGTCTTTCCTTATATCTCGATTCTCTTTCGCTTTGAACTGCAGCCGCATACTGACGATACAACTCGCCGCTAGAGACTAATTTAGAAGCAGTCCCGACCATGTTGACATTCAGAAATGGTTGAAACTTCTGATCCTTCAAAATTAGCCCCAGAGATATGAAAGGATGATCAATCGTGATGGCATTCTAACCTTGAAATAATGAGAAATTATGTCTTTAGAAATGACTTAACTTTATCTCATCGTGATTCACAGCTGCTGAAAAGAAAATCAGTTTTGACTTTGATTAAAACTAGCAAGCCCGTCTCAAATAATCAATCGGCTCGCAAAAAATTAGTCGTCAATCTGATCAAGCTATTCAAAGAAAGCCATAATCGAGGTGTTCCAGCTAAAAAAAAATTGAATAGCTTCAAATTAACTCAAGACTCTTTGAAAAATTTGATAGAGCTAATTGAGTTACTTGTTGGATCAATTCAGTCTGCGAAAAATCAAACATTTCTTGAGACATCTATTCAAGCTATGAAACTTTGAAATATTTCCTCCAGAGCAAATCATTTCGCGAAAAAATTGAGTTTATCTAAGCAAGCTATTGAAGCTAACAAAGCTTAAAATATTTCAAGTTAAATCATGGGGCAAATCGAATGGCGATATTTTAAAGTTTTTCTATTGAAAAAAGTCAAGCAACGAAACCTTGAAATAGTGCAAGTTGATTCTTAGACCGAACCAGATGACGAAAAACCAAGCAAAATATTCAAGCTATAAAACATTGAAATCGAACTTATTGCCAGCTATTGAGAAAAACTTTGAAAAGCTTCAATTTAATTCTTAGAGCGAATCAGTCCGCGCAAACTAACTCAGTATATTTTAAGCAAGCTATCCAAACCAATAAACTTTAAAAGTTTTAGTTTCATAGAGCGAATCATTTGGAGACAAGTTTAAAATTTCACAGTAAGTTATTTATATTATGAAAGTTTCACATTTTTCAAGTTATTTCTTGAAGGAAATCAGGCAATGAAAATTATAAGTTTTTCCATTGCAGCCATTCAATCGGTGAAACTTTAAAACATTTCAAATTATTCCATCGACCAAATCAGTTCTCCAAAACTTCTAGTTTTTCTGAGCAAGCTATTCAAACTACAAAACTTTTGAAGTTTTTAGTGTTTCCAAACTAAATCAGTTCATTAAACCTAAAATTTTTCTTAGGCAGATGTTCAAGCCATAAAACTTTGAAACGAAGCGAATCGGATAGCCAAAAATTTGAAGCTTTTCTATAGAAGCCATTCACATGCAAACTTGAAACACTTAGAGCAATTTTTGCTAGAGCGAATCAGTTCGCGAAAAAGTAGAGTTTCACTTTAGCAAGTTATTGAAGCTATGGAAACTTGAATTATTTCAAATTGTTGTTTAGACCGAAACCTATTGTTTAGTCAAAAAATTGAAGATTTCTAGATAAGTAAGTCAGCCATGAAACTTTGAGATATTTTGTGAAGCGAATTGGTTCAGAAAAAACTTTTCATAAGCAAGCAATTCAAGCTTCAAAACTTAGAAATAATTCAGGTTATTTCATAAAGGTTTTTTTTTTTTTTTTTTTTTGCCCCCGGCCTGCTCAGTGCAGGACCAACCGTGGGGGAGGGGGGGATGTCATCCATTTTGCCGCAGCCGGTCCCACCTTGAGGAGGCGGATGACACTAGGACCCCTCCAGCCGTGACCGAAGCGGGATTCGAACGCATGACCCTCGTGTTAAGAGAGATGTGCCTAGAGAGATTTCATAAAGGTAATCAATGTACAAAAAGTTGAAAATTTCCAGGCAAGATATACAACCTATGAAATTATTCAAATTATTTCGGTTGCAAAAAAATTCAAGTTATCAATCAGCAAGCTAGTCAAGCTATGCAACATTGAAAAATTTCAAGTTGTTTCAAAGAGCACATCAGTGCGCAAAAAAAATTCCTTAAGCAAGCTATCCAAGCTACAAAACGTTGAAATATTTAAAAGGGAATTGGTTTAGAAAAGTTTGAGCCTATGAAACATTGAGCCTATGAAGTCATTGCGTAGACCAAATCGATTCGCGAAAAGTTTAAGTTTTAGCAACCTATTGAAGCTATGAAACTTCGAAATAATGAGGATTAATTCATACACTGAATAGGTTCGCAATAAATACGTTTTCTACGCAAGCTATTCCAGCTACGAAACTATAAAATAGTTCTAGTTGTCTCAGACGAACCTCTAGGCAAGCTATTCAAGCCTTAAATCTTGACTTTTTCTCTAGGCAAGCTATCCAAGCCTTAAACCTATGAAACATTTCAAGATTTACCGTAGATAGACTCGTTTTGCGAAAAATGAGTTTTTCTAAGCAAGCTATTCAGAAACTTTGAAAAAATTGAAGTTTTTCGTAGACTGATTCGGTTCGCGAAAAAATTAGATTTATCTTTTCAAGCTATGAAATTTTTCAAGTTGTCTCATAGACGAAGCGGTTTGCAAAAAGAGAATTTTTGTAAGGCAAGCTCTCCGTTAACTTTCTTAGGGCGTCCATCCTTCCTTGTGATTCAGGTGTCTCTTGTGAAGACTCCAGTCGTCTGCCGCCTGGACCTGACTTTCTCGGGTCCTATCGATTTGATTCCTCAATCTGCTTCGTACACTTTGGTGAAAGGTCTCTGCTAGCTATTTTTTTCTTCACCACTTTCAGTCTGGTCCTAGAACCACTGTTCGCTCATTTCTTCAGGTTTCAGCATTGATCTTTCTAACTTCTCTTGATCTGAATTTACAGAATTGATAATTTTGTCCCTAAAAATGACCATTCAGTATTAGGTTTGTAAGCATAGTAAAGCTCAAATAGCAATTTTTTAGGGACAGAATGACTTGTTATGCGAATATCTAGGACAGATTTAACTGATTGAAAATTGTCGAAATTGGGATCCAAACGCATAGTACCCACTTTCCGTTTTAATGTCTGAATACAACATTCCACGAGTGCGATGGTCTCCCACTGGGCAGACAATTTGATGAATTCTCAAGATTTACAAAAAAGCAGTTTTAGCATTTTTGAATCCTGAATGTTGATCCGTCCCCAAATTACTCAAAATACAATTTTGATCGATATAACCATATAAGAAATTGATGAAACTTTCGTTCCCCGAGTTTCTATTGATTAAAGCTGATGGGTAATTTGAAACACCATCAATGGCAACAAAATGAAGAGTGTTTCCCCTTTGAATCAAAAAGAGATCGAGAAAAATCCAACTGAAGTTCTTCGTTTGAATCGGTGAGTCCTGGCAGAGGTTCTGAAGAGTTGAACGAATTGGTGGTTTTAAGGATCTTACAATACGCTGATCTCGTTCTGAATTTGTGAAACACTTGTCACGTTGTGAATGACTTGTAATCGACTGATATGATGAGTGTCATGACAAGTTGATTTTCCTCACTTGTCCGAATACAATGTTAACAGTAGCCAATCTCTTCAGTCTCTTACTTCTGAGGTTAGCCAACATTTAGGCATAGTTTGTCCTATTTTTGTTTATTGCCAGCAATATTCGTCTTCTATTCGCCCTCAGTGTTTCACCCAGCTATCTAGCGTTTGTCCTTTCTCTGCACAATTACGGTCTTTCCATCTGACAAATAGTTTGTAGATCTAACTGTGCCATAAAATTGGTGACAATATGGCTGAGTACGAAATCCCTTCTTCTGATTGGGCTAACTCCAATTCTTAGCCCTCTCCTATCGATCCAGTTTCCAGTTAACTGTGGTGTGTTTGTGAATAAAGTAGGAACTAAGTATTCTAAATGGATAGAACTTCCACCGCATTCACTATCTCCATCTTGCGAAGAATTGATACATTGCATTAAATGATCTGATTGGCAAAAATTTGCCGCGTAAAATTCTGACATTTTCTATAAAACTTTGTTCAGAAGAACTATAAAGTTAAATCAATTGATCTAATTGGTTAAGATAAAAACTACATGACGCTGCGCCTTCTTACTGATGTATGTACATTTATCTAAATCCTTTGAGTGGATAAAATAAAACCGTTAACTTTGCTGAACTGACTTGCATTGTGGGTAAGCTTGGGTAATTTTGATTGGCCAGCAAATTTCCCATTTTTCATTGCCCTCATGTGGCGATCCGGTAACGAATGATGAACTATTGTCTAGATTCACAGCGTAAAAAAAATTGATAATTCGGTAATGACTGATTGGGTTTCATTAATTACATTCCTGACCTTCTCTTATTCTGAGGTATTTTGATTGGATATGTTTTTTGCCTGGCACACTTCGTCGACTTAGGAAACGCTTTGACTACAAATTGTTCATCGTAACGTGAGGCTTGAAAGTGTCCTAATTTCACCTATTGCAAAATGAGATAGAATACTCGATAGTTGAAATCCTTTCTGCCCACCTAGATAGTCTTGACTGATAAGTCTCATTTCTTGTATTCTCTGTTAATGCTACAACTGACTTTATTGGTCAGTTAAAACTTTGAATTGATTTACTAAAAGATAGTTGCGAAAGAAACCGCAGGACCATACGAAAGCAAGAAGTTATCGCTCGTTCGTGTTGTTTTTGTTTCGCGGTAATTAAACATTTTGATGTGAAGGCAACAAGTACCGATATGTCCGGTTGCTCCTAGTTCTGTGTGACTTGGGCTATATTTAATCCTGCATTGGTCTGAAGCATCATAGTGGTTCATCTTTGATATTTCAGCAATTGGTGCTAGTATTTTTTGAAAAATGTCGCCTTCGGCAATCCAATTTAACTTCCTCTCATTCCTGTTTTTTAGTGAAATCTAGACATGTGATTGACAATACCCATAGAGGATTCAAAATGCTTGAGTATTTTCGGAAACGATAATGCTAGTTTTGCTTCTAACTTTTTCGTTTTGATACCCATGTCATCGATTTCAAACCCAACCAGGTTAGATTGGTTTTCTAGAACTGACATAATTGCCTAATTTATTAGCGAAACCTTCCTGGTCTAGTTTTGACACTTGTGCTTTTGTCTAGCTTGACTATGTACCTTTCCTTTCTAGCTATTTTATTTCTACTGCAACTTCCGCTAGTATATGGATGAATAATATCCTCCCCTTTTACTGTATTGGTTTAAGTGGTTCACCCTTCGCTTGTATATGGATGGAAACTCTCCTCCCCCTTTCCTGCTTGTATTGGTTTAAGTGGCGACTTGATTAAAGTGTTTACTTTAAGATTCTTTGAGCGTCTTAATCTTTGAAATACGGTGCCAAATTTTTACACTGAGGCGAAGCTGAGCTTCGCACCACTTGCGATACAAATATGACTGTTATGAAACTCCGACAGAGAAAAATTCAAAAACTCGACTTCGTCAACAGAAATTGCAACAAAAGCTCATGATTCCCGGAAAAAAATTACCTGAATCAGTATAAACTGTACAAAAAGCTTCGGGAATGCTATAAAGAAGCCAAATTTTCTATTTACATGAAGTTTTAGCTGGAACCGAACTTCCGTGCTTTGTCGACTCAAGCATGGGGAGTACAGCAACTAGGAATGAAGCTGAATCATCGAGCTACGGGATCTAAGCCGACAAAAATAAACAGACGGATAATAATCCGAAAAAGCACAGGAACGCTAGTTTACAAAAAAGGCCCGGCCGGATTCGAACTGCAAATCTTAACCATCTTTACTTCTACGCCAGATGCACCGGTTGCTTGATTGGACTTGAATTTATAATTACCAAGCGGTAACAAAGCCGAAAAAACCTGAGCAGAAGCAGAAGAAGCCCTACATGCCGAGAAGAAATTCAGAAAAATTCTACACTTATTAAAAAATGTCAAGTCCCTTTTGCCGTCAGAGCACACACGCGTACAATTTTTTTTCGGAGGTAACGACGCAATAAGAGGCCACTGAAAAGATATTAATTAGGCCTAAAGTTGTTGATCCGATAAAAAAGAAAAAAAAACGAAATTTGAACAAATCGAGATGGTTGAATTACAACCAATGTGAAAAGCAAACTTCGATTCAGCCGGATTTTTAAAAGCTTAAAACAACTAGTTAAAATTGCTTAAACAATTACCAATTGAAAAACTGGCCCTGGTCAGGTTCGAATCCAGGACCTTTGCCGTCCCAGGCGTATTCGTTACCACCAGGCTAAGCGTTCAAGAGACACTACAAATTTTGAATTCATTATGAACCAACGTATCACCAGTTTAATGAGTCCTGTGGACAAAGTTGTTTAATGGAAAAAAAGTCTAGTAGCCAATTGCAATACCCTTGCTATCGGAAGGGTAATAATAAAATGATTATTCCAAAATTTTGTTTGTTAATCACAATTGACGGTGGCTTTAGCTGAGTTCGCGAGCAACTGATCGAAAACGGGTTCTTTTGAAGGCCCAGAAATATTTATTTGCAGATGAAAAAACTTAAATGGCTTCTACGGCAACTATCTACTTGCTGCGTTTAAGAAGCTGACAAACAACAGGCATACACACTTAGTCCGGAAACAGGCAAAAAAGTTACTTGAAAAAATACAGGCCAGGGTCGGAATCAAACACCTAGCCTTTGATATTGCAAGCAAGTGCTATACCAGTAAAGGAACATAGCCAACAGACAATTGCAAGTAAACAGTAAAAAAATCTCAACTTTGGAATTACGAAGAAAAAAATAGATGGTCGTAACGCTTTTTGAATTTTTAGACTGATTTATGATTGACATCTTTTCGATAAAATTAACCCAATTGGAGAAAACTGGATTAATAGGTAAATTTTTTTATTTTCCTAAAAATCTTAAAATTCAATTCCATTTTCGAAACAAGAAGTCGATCGTTTTTTGTGACTTTAAAATATTTGCTGTTTGATAGTGGAGTTTTGTCTCCTTTTGACAAAGAAAATGAATTGAACTTTAAGAGAAATTAAAAGTCAAACCGCGAAATAGTAAATTTGAGCCTGAACAAACTATATGACTTTTCCTGCAAAAAAAATCATAACGACCTATAAAAAGTCTGAACTACGTACGCTCATCGACTCTTAAAAAACGTCCATTTTTCTGATTAACCAGCACCAATTTCGTACGTATTTGTAAAAAAAGTATTAATGGGAAATATTTTGCTCGCGATTACAAGACACTTGCTCTCACAAACTTTAACATCGATCGAATCGAGACAGAAAGTGCTTCAATTTGATATATCACTTAAACCAATGTCTTCAAAAATCAACTTTACATTCAGCTGTGAATTCTACAAATTAAACTTTTTAACACTTCGACAATAAGCCATGAAGAAACTTGACTTGAACCTTGACAAAACAGAGATTTCAAAAGTAGTTAACTCCTGCTTCTTGCAACGAAGAGCACCAGACTTTTATCAGAAGAATATATCGCATTTGATTTCGTTTCGAAATATCCAAGACTATAGAATCTCTAAATTTCTCCCAAATAACTCGATCAATTTTGGCAGCAAAGTTCAGAGCATAAAACAATGTCAGCGTCATTTAGTTCAGCGGCTGAGAACGCTTTAGCCTATTGTGAATCCCAGTCCAAACTTACTTAGACCTCGTCTGTGGTTCATGCTTCCGCTTAGAGTTAAGGTGAAAGGGTGCATTTTCTTGTCGTACACAGCACTGAGTGTTCCATTGGAGTCTATTGAGCCTCGAAGACAGAAGTTCCCACTTTCTGTCATGTCGATTTTGTACCCCAATGCTACACTCGACTCCCCTTGAACTGAAGAACACTCCCATTCTACCCCTACAGTTGTTGTTTTGCTGCATTCATGATAGTATCCAGTCTGAAAACCAGCGTTGTTCACGTTGCCAAATATCTCCCAGTTCACTCCACTGTATTTTCCATGCACGCCCATAGATGTTTTCAACTGTCCTTGCGCATTGTGCATTGTAAAATCGGAGCCTATGTCAACTTTGGGTGTGATTCGCTTCAAAAAACTACTGGATAACACTCCTGTGCAAGCTAATAGGTCGGGGTTAATGGCCACTAGAGAAGCAGAGTATGAGTTTCCCTTGTAGTCCAAGGCAGCCTGCGACATTGCCCATTTAGACTTTTGGGTCTGGAGAACTGCTTTGCATCGCACCCGGCTGTTGAGGTATTTAATTATCTGCCCATTGAGACTGCCGCTAAAACGAGCAGAACCTTTTTAAAATTTAAAACTTGCGATACGAAAAAAGGCTACGTCAAAAATATCTAAGGAATTCGAATTTGTCGAAAAAATTAGATCTATCGAAATGAATTAGCTTATTTTTGAAAAAAAAAACGAGCCAAGACAAAAGAAGAAAAAATTAGCATCGATGCCGATTAGCATATCCCGATGAAATACAGACCAAAATCGATCAAGCCGAAAAAAAAGATTAAAAAAGCCGAAAAACAATTCAAAAAAATTCAAGACTAACAAAAAGTTATCAAGTCCACCTCACCCTCAAAACACATACACAAAAAAAAATGCTCGTCGAACAATATAACGCGATATGAGGCCACTAAGCTGATATAATATACGCAAAAACAAAAAACTAAATTTTAACAAATCGAGTCGGTAAAATTACAACCACTTAAAAAGATAAATCGTAGGAGACAGATAATCAAAATGCTAACATGCAAAAAAAACTTGTAGCGGTAAATCTGTTGCGAATAGAGGCTTCCAGGAAATGAGTCCAGATCAAAGAGAGAGTCTTGTGCCTAGAGTTATGAACGGGGGAAAAAGTCTAGTACACGATTCCAATACATGAAGGTAGCCGATTGCTGTACATGAAGCACAATGTTCCGACCATATTCATAAAAGAAAAAAAAACGTTTTTATTTACTTTTCTTAAAATAAGTGTCGTTTCTAGTGGGTGGTGTAATTCAAGAATAATACCATCGCTTACGAAATTAGTAAATTATGCATGATCGACAATATTTGTCTCCAAAAATGAATAAAAAACAAAATGAATAAAAACAATTTTTTACAAAAATCAAAATTTGTTTCTAAGTTTTTGCACAATATTTTTTTTGCCAAACAAGCGCTAAATGGAACATTCGAAACTAGTTTTCTCTATAGTAAAATCAAATTTTTCTGAAAAATCTGAAAAAAAACAGTAAGTTTGTTTCCATGTAACGAGCGTTACTCGATCGCGTTACTTGCTCGAAATCAAACTAAATTTTCAATGAACGGAACAAAAAAAAGTTATGTACTTTTGGCTGGATTACATTGTAGCTGGTTTAATTTTTCTGCGGTATATATAACCTGGATATGTAGCAAACAGTAGACAGGTCATTAAACAGACAAATACTATATTAACCATTAAGAATTGAAAACAGAAAGCACACTTAGGAAATAAATAAGGTTGCATTTTGTTCTCGATTCTGATTGGTTAATATAAAACTTGTCTTTTTTACTGCACTCCACATAGCACCCGGACTATTAAAGTTTCAGACCTATTTTCACTCTTAAAAGTGCACCCGTATTTATTTAATGTTTACCCATAGGTGCTCAAGCAAGCTTTAGAGCCTCCCCAGTATGTTTTCAAGATCGCCGATTAATTCATATTTCAAAACAAACCTTCTCCCCACTATTCTGATTACCTTACCAAGAACCACGTGTTCCAGACTAACAAGCACAACTTGCCAAAAACGTAATCAAAATGGCTATTCACATCGGGCCTTCGATTTCTTACGTGTTATCAATCTCCGCCATGAATACTGGAGTCAGCTCTTCGTGTTCGGCTTTGCCAACGCACGTTGCCTGGAAAGAATAAGGCGGTGGTCCTGCAGTGGCTCCTGGAACAGCTCCTGCGCTACCTGAGTCTCCCATATTTACCGTGTGTGCCATTTGGAACCTCGAGGCTAAGACTCTATTAAGAACAACCCGAGCCCCATCTAATGGTACTGGAAACAAGTCTTTGAGTTTCCGCGACCAATCATCTTGAAAACCAGGATTGTTTGGGAACAACACGGTTTGCTCGGGTTTTCCACCACTCTCCATTAACTCTTAAAAGTACTTTCATAAAAAATTCCAACTTCATAAGAAGTTCCACTAGTACTTACACTGAAAGACACCCAGGGAATGGGTGCCGGACATCAAGCCGACGGGACTTCAAGCCGAATCGTAAAATTAGGGACTTCAAGCCAAAAATTTTCTCATTAAGTCATGAACACTTTTCTGAAGATTTTCTCATTTTCTTGATCTTTAGTCGGTATTTATTAGCGTTTTCATAAAATTTCAACCTCCAAATGATGTTTAGAAAAGTTGAAAAATAAAACACGGTTGAAGTCAAATTTCTTGTTTATAATTTATGCATTTCAAAAACCGGCTCATTAACGGATGTCAATCCCAAGTGATTCATTGTCATAAATAACGCTTATTATGGACTAAACTAGCGTAAGCTTTTGAAAAGCAACGTTTTACAGATGAAAAAATATTGATTTGAGGTGCTTGTAAAGTTTAATTTTCGGCCTCAAGTCCCTTCGGCTTGAAGTCCCGTCGGCTTGTTGTCCTAGACCCCCAAGGAATATAGCTTTTGACGCCTTAAATTTTAATCATAATAAAGACTTTCATCCTGAAACTTATAATGTAACATTCGACCGGAAGTACATACCGACGGAAAATCAAGTAGGTCCTTCTGGATTCTCGAATCAGGTCAAAGAGCTGTCTTCTGAGAGAGGAAGACTTGTGACATTCGACCAGAATTAACAAAAAAGGCCAGTTCGAGTTATTAGCCGCTGACCTTGAGAATTGGCAGTTTTAACAGATTAGCGACGTTATTGGGACAATTAGACAAACTGTGAAGGTCAGAATATTCTGGTATTTTAAATTTTCGAATGATAACGTCAGAGTTTCCGAGAAACGTCAAAAACGGCCATTTTGGAAGAAGTCCAAAATAAAACAGAACAACGATAGAAGTTGCGAAAACAACAACGACGATACTTGTGAGAAAGACGATGATAAGAGATAGAAGAATACAACAGATTATTAGCAGAGACCGCTCCTAATTGCAACGATTGTGTCGCTACAATCGTTGCGAGGCCATTCACACTAACGGTGAAGGGTGGTAACCAGCGTTCCGGAGAGGTAATAAGGGTGTTATCTCCCCGGATTCTTGGGACTTGAACTTGAACCATTTTAAACTAAATTTTAGCTTCCTGGTTATGTTCTGAATTGAATTTAATTAACATCTGCATTCATTTTCTGACGATGAGAAGCTAGGAGATAAAGGAAAGGGTTGATCCATCTTCGATGGAGATGATGATTTTAATCTACTGAACAAAAACAATCGTAATATGACAAATAGTAGTAGCCCTGTTTTTAGGAGTGACCTCGTGGTCTGGGGATACTGAGACCCAGCCATGAGCTCACTAATTTTGCATGCAAGTAAGTTAATTTGAGCGTTCTGGTCGAAGCCGGAGAACAGTAACGTTTTTGTCGACCCGATGTTGAAAAGACCACCAAAACAACTGGCTTTGGTAGAGACGGTGAAAAGCATGTAGAGATTTGTTTAGTCGCTGGCCAGTCGTTTTATAGCTTAGCTTTATTTTCCGTCGATATAAACTTCCGGGCGAATGTTACATAGATGTTTTTATGGCGCTCCTGGCCTGGGTGTTATTTTTTTTAACATCATGACCGGCAGAACCGTTAACGAGCACTCCGCGCCGAGCGGATGGTCATAATAACGCCCTTAGTAGGCCCTAACCGCCGAGGCGGAAGGGTAGTTTGGAACGCGGAAGCCTTCCGGATTCCCGTGAATCGCTTTTTAACCTAGTTAAGACCGAAAATTCACGAACCAGGAAGGGTGGGGAGATTCGCGTACCCGCCATTTCCTGAGTGGTCCGTGACCAAAAACACTAAAAAAAATATACAAGAAACCAAACAAAAAGTAGTATAGTACCTAAGAAAAACAAAAAACATTAAAAATAACCGAAAAAACCAAAAACAGTAAAAAAAAAAAAGTATAAAATCAGTAGAAATCATCCCCCCAGACGAGATGTGATCCGACCCTCCCGTTTGTTGTTGTTAGATATATTGTGGTTAAAGGCATTTATATCAGTCAGGATTGTTACGATCATTTTTGTGGTCCGTTTGTGAGGCTTGTACTGTAGGGTTATTTGAGTACTTAAGCACGTTAATGCTAATTTGCGCTCAATCCGGAAGGGTCTCGGGATTAGTGAAGATGACTGATCCGGCAAGCGGTACAAGGAATGACAAGAAGGGGCTCAACGACAACAACAGTCGACTGTTGGGTATCGTTAACAAGTTTTGTATACCTTTTGGTACAAGAAAAATAAGATATTAATCTGTGGGTGCTCGACAAAGCTGCACTGTAGTGACCCTTCACCGAACTGCGAATTTCCGAGTTAAGCACCTTAATTCGGATATTGAACAAACGCGGAGGGGTATAGTATTACTAGTATTATTAAGTATACAGCCTAAATTAAAACTCCTATATCGTTTTCAGTCAAAAACACAGTAAGCGGACCGGTTTTTAGGGTCAAAATAGCGATATTTTGATCCCCCCACAAATCGCGATTTTTGAGATATCGATATTTTTTGAAACGGAAAAAAGCGTTAATCTAGTGAGTCACATCGTAACTGTACTAGTATAATGTGTAGAACCGGTTAAAGTTAGTTCGGAAGTGGTTGGAACTAATTGGAGACAAAAAACCGAAATTTCTTGATTTTTGAAGAAACGAAACGCTACAAAATAGGAAAACTTTTTGAAGTTTTTCAGTTAGGACAGTAAAAACTGTTGTTCGGACAACTTCCACTAGTGAATCGACAGGTTTTAAAACCCGTGTGCCAATAACCTTCCGGGTTACAGAGAAATCGAACTTAACGTGTTTGATTTAGTGGATTCATCAATCCGGAGGGGTCCAAATAGCATAGTTTTTGGCAAATTTTTTCAACTAGAGCGTTTTGAATCGGGGTTTTTGCATTAAACTAGAAAATTATAGGCCTTTTGAGCTCGGATCAATAATTTGTAGGTCGAAAAGAACAGAATTGCGAAAAAAGTTAGGCGGAACCTATAAGAGAGAAATTTTTTGACTTTAGAAAAAAGACGTTTTGGTTAATAACTTTGAAACTACTGGACAGATTCAGTTGATCTTGGTACCATTAGATCAAAAACTAGCTGAGCTTACTAATAAAAACATCAATTATTCAAAAAAAGTAAGCGTGAAAATTTTTTAGGATTGTTTTTAGCAAATCGCCAAGTCGGGAAGGTAAACCCTTCACGTTTTATAAAAAAAATTTTGAAAAGCCCTTACACCCCTACCAAAGGGTAGTAACGGTTGAATGAGGCAATTTAAAGCTTCTCTAGACAAAAAGGGAAGGCTAAGGGGACCAGAAAACCATAGTCAAGTAGAAACTAGGCTAGTGATTAGACCCATCACCGTTAGGGTGAATTGTCAAATAAGAGGCTTAACTTCAATCCGGAAGGGTCTAAGGAAAGACGATACACCCTTCCTAGTTAGTTCAAACAGCATAATAGCATTGGAGAACGTATCTGGAAGGGTTTCGGGTGAGAATTTTAAAAGTCCCCATGAGGCTTTTTTTTACAAATCCGGAGGGGTCCCAATCCGGAGGAGTCCTGTTTTCACCAATCCGGAGGGGTCCCATTTTGCCAATCCGGAGGGGTCCCATTTGGCCAATCCGGAAGGGTTCCATTTTGTCAATCCGGAGGGGTATTGTTTTTTCAAGACTTAAGAAGACAACAGAAAAGAAAGTAGTTAAAGGCATTAGGTTATTAGGAGATAGCCTGGGAACCAGTGACTGCACTGGTATCTTGCCTTTTATAAAAAACTAAACAAAAACAAAACAGGTCTAAACTCGGGTATTCGCGACACTAAGTCTAAATTGAACAGGAGTGTGTAACTAATTAGTGTGGATCGAAATCAAAGACGTTTTTGAGAAAAGTGATTGCCCTGAGAATTTTAGTAGGTCTAGCTCGGGCAATCCGAAGTCAGATAGGTAACACAGGACTCGGTGGGTGCAATAGACGCCCAATTGAGAAAATTACTGCCTTCAAGTTTTGTCTGTTTGATGCAGCACCAATCAGGGAAGGTTCTTTCTCTAAAGACAAGTTCGACTATTGTATTGCGACAGACTAAAAGTACAAATCTCACACGTTTTCCATAGAAAATATTCTTACTTTTGTCAATCTTGGTTTTAAATTAATAATATTTGTGCTTGGTTGGGTAGTGAGAACACTATCTTTTAAGTAGGCTGATATCATCATACTGTGCTAGCTTCAGATTTATAATTGATCATTGTGAATAAATTGTATACACGCAGTACTGTGATAACATACAAGGATTCGTGGTCACTATTTAATGGAAACGTTTGAAAATTATTGTGTTGTGTTATTGTTATAAGTAGTTAGACTAACAGGACACTAGCAATCAAATTGAGTGTATAGGCAGTAAAAAGTGATAAATTAAAAATGAGTCTAGACAAGTCAAGGATACCTAAAGTGAGTGATAGCTCAAGGAAATTCATACCTGAGAAACAGAGAAAAGCAATGACTGACCCGTTTGTGGAAAGGATCACACGAACCCGGAACGACAATGGGGAGACGATTTCAGGCAGAATGGTTGAGACCAGGAGTCAATAGTCCTCAGAAGAGCGAAAAGCAATACTAGAAGTGGAGGTCCATCCGGACCAGGCCATGGATGAGAACCGGGAAATACATTGACCGGAGGGGAGAGGAAACAGAAGGCTGGCGAGTGAATCTACTCCGGTAGAACAAGGCCACGATTTTGCCATTTCCACCGGGACACTGCACCGAGAAGAGATGTCGGAACTGTCCGACATCTCTACTGAAATTGTGGCAACTAGAAGATCTCCCACAGACAACACCATGATGGCAGGCGTGACGGAGAATCCCAGGAGGAAGAAGAGGACGATGAAGAACAAGCTGACTTTGGATCTCAAGTCAGCCTCAATAGTTCGACTCAGGAGAATGAAGCATACACCGGCAGAGGGACTGGTACCATGGAC